AGTGACCAAGATGCTAGAGTGAAGAGTGGAGAGGGAGAGCAAGATAACAAGTGAGGGGAGAGAGTGAGAGAGAGGGAGAGCAGGGAGAGTGAAGGGGGAAGGGAGAGCGAGGGAGAGAGAGAGAGAGAGAAAGCAAGAGCAAGAGGCAAGAAAGAGAGAGAGGAGGGAGAGTGAGGGAGAGGGAGAGTGGGGGAAATGAAGGGGAAGGGAGAGGAAGAGAGGGGGATTGAAAGGGGAAGGAGAGCGAGGGGGGAGTGAAGGTGGAGGGAGAGAGGGAGTGGGGGAGTGAAGGAGAGAGGGGATGGGGGAGTGAGAGTGAGAGAGAGTAGGGGGAGTGAAGGGGGAAGAGAGAAAGCAGGGGAGGGAGGGGGATGGAGAGAGGGAGGGAGCAAGCTAAGAGAAAGGGAGATGGGGAGGGAGTGGGAAGGAGAGCAAGAGAGAACCAGAGGAGGGGAGAGCGAGGGAGGAGTGAAGGGAGAGGGAGAGGGAGAGAGAGAGAGATAGTGAATGAGCAAGGGGGAGGGAGGAAGAGAGAGAGGAGTGAAGGGAGAGGGAGAGCCTGAGTGGGAGGAGTGGAGGGAGGAGGGAGAGCAGAAGAGTGAAAGAGAATGAGAGAGGGAGAGGGAGAGAGTGAGAGGGGAAGGAAGTGGGGAGGGAGGGAGAGTGAGGGCGGGTGTGTGTGTGTCTGAAGAAGAGGTAGACATATCAACTATACACCTATACTCCTTTCTGGGTTCTCAGCCCAGAATTCCTGGTTCTCTGATGAGTGCCTTCAGATCCAGACTTTGCCGTGGGAAAGCACACGTGGGCCGATGTGGAATACCATCTGCAGGAAGATTCTGCTCTCATTGGTCCTGCACAGCCATCTCTGCCCCGAGGTGGGAATCAGAGACCCAGTCACCACCATCCTCCTCTGAGGGATCTTCTGTGCTGATTGAGAGGACAGCACTGCTGACTCTTCCACGCATCCCATGCCACCATCCATTAGAACTCAACGCCTACTGCCCTGTGCAGTGGGGACAATTCTCTCCTCTCTCACATCCTCCCCATCTCAGGATCTTGACCACAATTTCCTCCTGCCACCACAGAAATGGTTGTCTTGCTTTCTAGTTTCCCCTGAGTTCTTTCATCTGCCAGAGAACTGTCAGCCTGGACAATAAACCCTAGGGAGGAAGGAGGCCCTTCCACTTCTCAGCCTCCATTCGCACAGGAAAACCAGCGTTCACCGGGGGCTGAGGCAATCAGCCACCACCTCAGGGCCGTTGCCTGCAGTTCTCACAGCTCTTTACCGCCTGAAATCCCAGTTCTCACACAAGCCAACAGTCCCTCTTGGCTCCGTCTTAGAACTTCTCAGCAAAGCGACAAGCAATCACATGCTTCCTGGTGTTTATATATTGTTCCTGGGTTCAGGGTGTGCCTGGGAAGGCGGCTTTACCATGTATTCAGATAATCCCATTAATCCAAATCCTTTAAGTACATCCTCTCACTTCTTATCCATGATAGGTAATACTCTGACTTGGTGTCCTTAATAGCACTGACTGGCTGTATGGATGTGGGGGTGTGTGCATACACGTGTTAGTGTATGTGTATAATAAAAGCAATTTAGCCCAATATTTTGGCTTTGCCATTGATTTTATGTAAGGATTAAAGGCTTTCTAGCTTTATTTTATGGTTACAAAACCAAATGTAAATAAACAATGAGTAGTTTAATACTAAAAATGGTATACAGAAGGTTTGGATTCAGCAAGAGCCTCAAAAGGAAAGAAAAAAGCTAGATAAACAAATAAGACACAATCATTCTATTTAACAGTGAGACTTAAGGTCAAAGAGAAAATTTAGAACACTATTTAACAGAAGAATATTACTTAAATTCTCAAAATATGAATGTAGGTGACTAGTGGTATAATAGTAGTATAAACCACAGGGAGCTGTATTGCCAATCTGAAAGCAGTGCCTCGCAGGCAGTTCAAATCCACAAGCAGTTCCACAGAAGAAAGACTCCTACTGGGTACTTTACAACCTTCAAAAGCCAGTGGAGGGTCAGCTTTGAGTCAACTCCAGCTTGAAGGCAATGAGTTGAGCTGACACAACCCTGGTGATGTAGCAAGCATGTAATGAGTCAGGCTGCAAACTCAACGTCTAAGGTTCAAGTTCAGTCTCTGTGGAAGAAAGATGGGCAGTCTCCTCCTGCAAAGAATTACAGTTTTGGAAACCCAGCACTAGTGGTTATGCTTGTTATTGTTCAGTGCCATCGAGCAGAGTAAGGCCCACAGGGGCCCTGTGAACAAGAAAGCAGAACCATGTCCTATCCTGTGCCATCCTCACAATCTCCAACCTACCTGAGCTCATTGCTGCAGGTACTGTATTGTTTGGAAATCACACTTGGCACCATTCTTGGAAAAATGGAAGGTCAGCAAAAGAGAGGAAGACACACAACCAGATGGACTGACCCAGCCGTGGAGTACACAACAATTATCTGGAGACCCCAGTTTTGCTGTTCTGGAACAAGTGCCAAACCAAAAACCTCTCCCAAAACAAACCGGTACTGTCAAGTCCATTAGATTCAGGACACCACCCCCCCATCAGGTTTCGGAGAGTGTAAATCTTTGCAGGAAGAGACTGCTTGCTCATTTTTCTCTTAAAGAGATGATGGTGGATTTGAACTGCTGCCTTTCTGATTAACAGCCTACAGCTTAGCCTGCTATACCAATGGGAGCTACTGCATATTGTAATTGTTTATTTTTTTTAAATGGTATAAACTTCCAAGAAAACAAGCCTTTAAAAACTGTTAATGTCATACACGTGGCGGAGTGTATTTTGCCCCATCAAACTGCTGTAATTACGAGGCTTAATCATTTCATGAGTCTAACTGAAAGACTTCCTGGCCATGGTCATTTTGCATGAGTTAGAGGATATTAGTGAGGACCAGATGGCCTTCTGTGAACCAGACGGAGATCACACAGAACAGGCTCTGTGGCAGCCCTGTTCTCCGCACTGGCATTGCTGCTGACTCACCAGTGCCAGTGAAGCCACAACCCAGATCAGAGGCATCACAAGGGGTCACAGAGCTGCAGGATTTGGGGAGTGTCAGGAGACCTAGAGTTCCTGGAATTCTGTCCTTGGCACTGCCAGGCTGAGATAGATGGACTCTACTATTTGATCCAAGCATGTGAACAACCAGGACAGAACCTATTTGTTTTACATATTGTTGTTTTGTACTGTTGAGTCGGAACCAACCCATAGCTAACCCTCCGGTGGGTTTTCAGAGATAGTTAATAACACATCTTCCCGCAGAACAGCTAGTGGCCTCGAACCACATACCTTTGGGATTGAAGTGCAGCTTCTTGCCACTAGGCTATGAGAGCTCCCTGTAATTTAAATGTCAATCATAATCCTTTTCATTTAATAGCCTTTTCCAGGCATAAGGAAAGGGCTGGAGAAGCACGTGGTACTGATGTCAGCAGGCCCAGGGATTAGCATCAGTGCAGAGGAAGAATGCGGTGGCCAAATTGTGAGTCTTTTGTCACAGAGGGTCAGAAAAACCAGTACCAACACCCAGTCCAGGGACAAGACTGGCAGGATAGTTGTTTTCCCGAGCAACCAATCCACTGCCATTGAGTCAATTCTCACACACAGCAACCCCGAGGGCCAGGGCCTGGGAAGAACTGCTCCACATGGCCAAACTTTCTGTCCCAGAGGGATTGGTGGGTTTAAACTGCTGACCTTTCAGTTAACAGTCAAAAGCTTAATGACTGTACCACCAAGATTCCTTATCCAATCCTGTAGCCCTGGTGAAAAAATAAAAAGCAACAAAGCAAGAAAAAAAACCCAAAACAACAAAGCAGTATGCAAAACTCCTATTTTCCTTATCAACATATACAAAGTTATATTGGAATCTGATTAAAAATGCAGATTGTTGTGGGTCTGTAAGTCTCATCAAGTCCTAAATTGCCACTGGGAAATGTTGTTGTTGTTGTTAAGTACCGTCAAGTCATAGACGACTCATAGTGACTCTATGAACAAAAGACCTGAACTTTCATCCTTTCTCCAGGTTCACAGGGTTTCAGGAGGCAAGCTATTTCAGAAGTGGATGCCACTCCTGCTTCCAAGCTTATTTTAGTCAGGGAGCTTCACCAAACACTGTCCACCGTGGGTAACCATTAGCGCATTTGACACATCAGTGTCAGAGTGTTCAGCTTCACAGCAACCATGAGTTACCTCTGTACAGCAAATGGAGAGACCAGTGCTATACAAACCACTTAGAAGAGTGTTTGACCAAAAACAATTAAAACCAGGCCTGAGGCCTACAGATTAAAATCACCCACTTTTGGCTTGGAAATGTTACTTTCTATGAATTCCTTTTGGTGATTCTGGTGGAAGAAGGGTGTAAGCACTGGCTGGGGAAAGTTTCAGAAAACGTCATTCATATGAAAAATGGGGCCTTTTCACGGGGCGGGGCTGTTCTGTCACTCCTGTTGCTATGATTTACCCAGCAGCATCTAACAACAATGGTCGCCTTCATCATGTCTGCACTTGAGTTTTTAACAAACTTTCAGTAAATATTTTAAGTAAGATGTCAATAAGTCATCTTTTTCTTTTAAAGGGGAAAAAAAAAGATTCTAAAGTCTAGTACCATTGGCGAAGATTGGGTTAAACAAAATAAATTACTTGTTGAAAATACAAAGCATGGATCTCAAACAGGAAACTTAGAGGGTGGTGAGTTTCTGCTGGGGGCAATTTGGCAAAGGTAGGTGGGAGTGGCCGCACAATTGGAAGGAGGTAATCAAGTCACAGAAGTGTGCGTGGAGGAATTGTGGCACTGGCGTGTCTGTTCTGCTGTACGTATTTTTAACACTAACAAAAACAAACAAACTAATAAAAATTAAGCTATCAGCTTAATATTGCTGAAGTCTGGCAAAGACAACAGCCTCCCTTTCCTCGCTCTCCTCCCCTCCCGGCCCTGCCTCTCGGCTGGAGGACCACTTATCCTCGGGTAGTACCTGCCATTCCTGGTATCATGCTGCCGCATGTTCTTGATAAAATGAATCTTCTTAAAGTTCTTTGGTCTGGGCGAACCTGAGAGAGTTCGACATCTGAAAAACAGAGCCGTTTAAAGAACACGGTCAGTTTGCTGGTGGACAGCAGAGACATTTCCACATAAAGGCAGGAAGGAAGGACCAGACAAGTGGCCCCCCTCACCCCAAGGCAGGCAGGAGTCAGCAGGAATAAGACGACAATGTGGCGGGGAGCAAGGAAACGTTAAAAAAAAGCCCGATGACAGACAACTTCCTTGATAACACGAAGATATTTTATATGGGTCTCTGCAGTTAACTAAGGAAAACTATTATCCCCAGTTACAATAATACACCAACACAGATTCCAGACATGTTATTCTTGACGAGAACCACCCTGCTTCAACAAAGGCAAATGGAACAAAAAACTGTAAATGTAAAGTATTTAGGAAGAAAAAAGATCACCGGAAAATTCAGTGTGAAAACAACAAGCTGGAATCCCTTCCTTCAGTAGCAATCTTTGGGCCTGACTCACTGGGCTCACAGTGTGAACGCGCTGGCCAGGCTCCTGGTCTAATAAGAACGGGAATCGGAATCTCAGGCCTGGCCAGCTTCCCCTCTTCTTCATGATAAATTTAAATGAAACAACTGTTTGCTGAAACAAGTGACTTAAATCTAAAACATTCTCTTTTCCTCTTGGAATAGAAATTTCCTGGTACGGCAGGCCTCAGACACTGGACCACAAGCTAACGAGTTCATCTTTGTGTGAGTTATCCCAAAGTTAGCCGGCAGAGTTTAATTTTCAAGTGTGTACACACACACACACACACAGATTTATCCTAGAGAGGGTTAAACCAGGCTGCTCCTTGGAGGCAAGGATTCTGGGGCTTCATTTGACATACTCTGGACATGTTGTAAGGAGGGACAGGTCCTTGGAGAGGGACATCATGCTTGGGAGGGTGGAGGGACAGTGCAGGAGGGGAAGACCCTCTATGAAGTGGATTGATTCAGTGACTGGGGTAATTGGGATGGGTGTGTCAGAGACAGTGTGACTGGCACAGGCTAGAGCAGGGTTTAGGGCTGTTGTACACAGGGTTGCTATGAGTTGCAAGTGACTCGATGGCACATAACAACAACAACACCACCACCACCACCACACACAGACACACATGTGCAAAACGGCCTGAAATAAGAGTCTCTCTTGAGGCTTTTCTTGAGATAGGAGCTGGGTTTTTTTATCTCAGTTTTTTGCTAGCTCTGGTGGCCTGGTGGGTAAGGAGTTGTGCTGCCAACCAGCTGCTCTCCGAAAGGTGAGATATCACCACCTGTGCAATTTATAGCCTCTGAAACCCACTGGAAGGTCAGCTATGCGTTGGTTTTCATTTGACAGCAATGGGTGAGGAGAACTGTTAAGTTAAACTTTTCTGACATGACCATCGAGAAGCCCCCCATGCACCCATTGTGCCACTATCTGTGAACTTTCTAAACAGTGGAGAGGCCGAGACTTCAGAACTTCCTGAAGCAAGGGACAGAGAAACCTGCAGCCCCGCACCAGAAGAAAGTGTCACCCTCCTGTGTCTGCAGTCCCGCAGGCTGGCCTTCACAGGAAGTGTCCCTCAGAGAGAAGCCACTGGGCTGAGAAACTCAAATTCACGGCCTTTTCTAATCTCAGGACAAGATCTGCTCAATTTTTCTGAGGAATGTATGAAATGTTTCCTGACATTTCTCGGGAGGCTCCACATCAGGAAGCCCTCAGTGCCACCTCTCACCTAGACCCCACTGGACATAGCAGCCCATTGCTGATGGCTCCCCCTGAAGGTCAGACTGTGAGGCAGGAATGCTAACCATGAACACGGCAGCTTACAAACAACGACCCAAAATAACTCTGCTAAGTTTTCTAAGTGGGCCTAGGCGGAAGGAGGGAGCTCACAGGTATTCAGTGCCTCCTCTGTACTGGACACTTTAAGTCTGTGTTTATCTTAAAACAAACAAAAACCAACAAAACTAAAAACCATGTAAGGTAAATAAAACCATCCTGACTGAACACAGTTGAGCTCAGAGGTTAGGAACTTTCCTCATGGCCAGAAAACTAGGAAGTGGAGCCCTAAAGCCAAGTGCACCTCTGTTTTGGGGTGCCCAGGACATGCTGAGCTCTGCCCTGTCTGGTCTGAGGCCGCTGTGCTGGGATGAAGTTCCTCAAGTCCCCTGTCCTCTCTCACCCCTGATCTCCTGGCTTCTGTTCCACTGCTGTCTCCTCTCTCCTCCTGACCCCATTGCCCCAGGCACTTAAGAGTCCCTTGCAGCAGAAGGGGTGAGGGTTTGGACAGCACCCTGGCAGGTGATGATGAGGTCCCCAAGTCAGGAAGATGGTTCAGGGCAGAGAAAGGGAGCAGCACGAGGAGGAGTGATGCTCAGGGAAGGGGGGAGGGTGTGGTGGTCTCATTGTAGCAGGGCTAGGCCCATGGGCACGAGGTCAGAGATGGCAGCCACCACCCTGTCTCCTTCAGAGTTCTAGGGTAACAGCGGCCTGCACAGCCTCAGGTACAGGACAGTGTGGGGCTGGACCAACTACACCATCACACATGCCTCAAGGCTGGCCTTACCAGGAGCCCTTTTTCCAGTGGGCTGAACATTTTTACTATTATTCAGATTGATTCATGTTGGGAAGCAGGAGTGGCATCCACTTCTTAAACTAGATGCCTCTGGAAACTCTACACACTCTCTTATAAATGTATTGTTGTTGTTGTTGTTATGTGCCATCGAGTCGCTTGCGACCCATAGCGACCCTATGTACAGGAGCTCTAAATGCTGTTCTATCCTGTGCCAACCTAGCCATCTCAAACGCACTTATTCCCACTGCTCCAGTCACAGAATCGATCCATCTCACCAAAGGTCTTCCTTTCCTTCGCTTCCCCTCCACTCTGCCAAACATGATGTCCCTTTCCAAGGACCAGTCCCTCCTTGCAACATGCCCAAAATATGTCAGACAGAGCTTCAGAATCCTTGACTCCAGGGAACACTCTGGCTTCACCCTCTCCAGGACAAACCTGTTTGTTCTCCTAGCAGTCCATGGTATATTCAACACTCTTCTCCAGCACCACAGCTCAAAGGCATCAATCCTCTTTCTATCAGCCCTACTCACTGTCCAACTCTCTGATGCATAGCACATGACTGCGAAGACTATAGCCCGGATCAGGCGCACCTTAGTCTCCAGCCTGACATCGTTGCTCTTCAGTACTCTTGAGAGGTCCCTCACAGCCGAATTTCCCAATGCAATTCGTCTCCTGATTTCCTGGCTGCTGTTACCAAGAGTGTTAACTGTGGAGCCAAGTAAATTAAAACTGTTAACTATCTCAATCTCCTCACCATCCATGCTGATGCTGCCAATTGACCCAGTGCTTAGAATCTTTGTTTTCGTGACATAGAAATGATGTTAATTATAGAACAGAGTTCAGGTCTTTGGTGCAAAGCTTACTCTGAGTCGTATTCGACTTGACAACACTTAACCACTGCTAAATTAGACTAGTGCTGTTCTGTCTCGAGGAACATTCTTCCACTTTGCACATCAATCTTTGTCAATTTGCTGTATGAAGTAACCTGAATTTGCTATGATGCTGAACCTTGTACCATTAGGGTATCAAATACCATAATGATTTCCCAGTGTGGACACTATTTGGTGGAGCTCCCAGTTGTTAAACAGGTTTGGAAGCAGGAGTGGCATCCACTTCCTAAACCACATGCCTATGGAAATTATGAACTTGGAGAAACAATGATAGCTATGGAAAAGCATTAGATCTTTTGTTCATAGAGTTGCTATCAGTCGACCTCCACTTGACAGCAATCAATAAACAACAACAACAATTTAATTTGGAGAAAATTAACACTGAAGTGAAGGGTTTTAGGTGGTGGCACAAACAATGAGCAGATAATGGAGGGCTTTCATCAGGACACCACAGGAGAGAAAGACCGTGGATGAGAGGGACTGACACAATAACGGGCATAATTAGGGTGTGTCAGAGACAGAAAGGCTTCAGAGCTTTTGTGCGTAGGGTTGCTATGAGTCATAGTTAATTCGATAGCACATAACATTAACAACAACATTGGGAAAAGGGAGTGATGCCCTTGCACACTGGAAAACACCACACCTACTCCTGGGTCCACTTTCCAGGGCAGTGTCCACAGTTCTTCAAGGTCTGTGTGGCCTGTGGAAACTTTAGCCAAAACCACGCAGAACTCTCTACCTTCTGACCTATTTACTGCCTCATCATTTCAGACCCTCCCGCCATTAACCTGTGGTTTAAAAGGGATCACGTGACCATGAGCTTCATAAACTGTAAGAAAGGTTCAGACAGACACGTATGTTTACACACGTGCACACACATTCACACATTCCAAGTGTTATGCTATTAACTGTTAGCTACACAAAGTTCCTATTTTATTCTGTCTCTATTTTTTAAAAATTTTATTTTTATTTTATTATTTTTTGGGCATGTACCGTCAAATCAGATCTGACTGGTACAGGAGGAGATTGTCCCTCCTTCACAGCAGAGCATCTGGAGGATTCAAACCATGCACCTCTGGGATTGTGTCTCTGTATTCTTAAAGTACAGCCCTAACTGTTGCTTTTGCCTGCCACTGAATACCCTCTCCACCATCCACACTGAGCTTGTGAAATAGAACTAAATGCTACGGGGTCCTAGGCCACTGCCTTGACAGATGGCTGATCACTCTCTTGGGATCCACAGGGGTTTCACAAGCTGATAACCAGGCGTTTCTTCTTGGGTCACCTTAATCCAGATGCTCTGCTAAAACCTGTCCAGTGTCATAGCCAACACCCAAGCTGCCCTGACATACAAGTAGTGTGTGTGTGAGAGGTACACTATTCGGGAACTGTTGGGCCTACTGTGTGGAGGAATCCTACCACGAAACAACTGATGCCTTCTGCAGCCTTTATTAACCAACAACGCAATCCGACGTCACTGCCTTCTGTTTCCACCTCACAGTGACCCCACATTGTAGAGCAGAACTCGCTCACAGGGTCGCCCAGTCTGGGATCTTCAGACACTACCCATCACATCTTT